CAGAATATCCGTTTCGTAGTAACATAATTTTGGGTTGTTTATCTCAGGTGAAATATGGTTATATAATCTGCAGTTCTCGAATCATGGTTCTTTAGAGCAACATGGATTTGCGAGGAACAGACTCTGGAGTATAGATAATGACCCTGCTCCTCTTCCAACTAATTCCACTAGTAAGGCTTATGTGGACCTGATTTTTAAGCCATCAGATGAGGACCTTAAGATCTGGCCTCACAGGTAATTACAGGTCTCCACTGGTGCCATGTGCATTCCAATCCACATACAAAACTTTTGCAAGAGAATATCAACAAGATCTGGAACATCATTCTTACATTTTCTTGCTGTTCCTGCGGTACCTAAAAAGTTTATGTGTGGAAGGAGCATGAGCAGAGAGGTTAAGAACGGACTCCTCTCTGTGAAACATACGACTTTTTTTCTCCTTAATAACCAGAAATTAGAAACAGGAAGAACTTGAAGGAATTTATGTTCTCAGTTCCAAAGACAGAAGGCATTTTATGCTCTGGCTCCTTTGACACCATTCTGCACTACTATGGATGGGATGGTTGAATTGAAACATTGGAACCGTATTGATATGTTCCTTGCTTCCTTTTATTTTACTAATATCTACCTTATCATTTCTCTGAAATTTTCCTATTTTATCTGTCATGTTTAGTTTCGAGTTCCGTCTGAGAGTAGCTTTGTGGCCTGGTGGAGATCTGATGTTGACATCTCGCATCAGGAATACTGATGCAAAACCTTTCACATTCACCTTTGCCTACCACACCTATTTCTCTGTTTCTGATATAAGGTAATATTATTAATAGGTTTTACTCTGCTTTCCCCGTCTATTTGGCATGTTAAATGAATCTGTTACTGTTAGAATGGTTATTGTGCATGGAGTGAATTAGCTTCTTATTTCGACAGATACTTATTGTTGATCCTTTCTCGTTGATGGACTTAATCAACGAATGTGTTATTTGTGTCTTACCGAAATGTATGTTCAACTGATACTTGTAAGCAACCCATTAAGACTATGCTCCTATGTTTCTAGAGATTTATGAACAACAAGATTAAGTCTGTCACTGGTCAACGCCAGGCTATGAAAATGGTCGTTTAATCTTGTTTTGGTAGACAGCAAACAGATGAGAGTTTTCTACAGCTTGAACCTGATTCTGACCAAAAAGATAAAAAAACCTGCAGTGATTGAAGTTGTTAGTAGGAGGGGAAATTGATAGGAAGGAACACAAAATTGTGAATATTGATAGGATTCCATTAGCCTCACATGCATTTGGCATCACGAAGCACCAAGCAATGCCATGTTTTTCATCAAATGGGGTGGGGAAAAAAGGTTTTGGGAGCGAATATGGTTTTTCTTGATGAAATCAACTATATTACTTTGATAGACAGACTTAATGCAACTGCATTTCCTGCCCACAAATCCTGACCACAAATCCTGACCATGTGATGTTTCTCTAAAATTCGGCAATAGAGAAACATGTGGTGAGTTTCATTCCTCAGTATCATATTAAAAAGTATTGTTACTGCTCTGAAGCAGCTTTTGAGATCGATCTAGTGCTTAGTATATTGCAAATATGCTTCTTTATTGCCCTCATGCCAATTGATGGTTTGAAAGAATTAGGTGGTGGTTTTGGATCTTGATATTGAAGCAGTAGATAAATTTTGAAGAAGAGCCTTACCAGTTATTTATACCGGCAATCCTCTAGCCCCCAAACTGTATGATTACTTTTCAGTGAGATGGATACTTGTGGCACATAGACAGAGGGTTCAGTTTAATGCTCTTATTGGAGTTTCCAAGTGCAATTAGTGTGCTCCAGGCAGCCATACTTCTCGTTCTCAAGGGTTCAGTTTAATGCTCTTATTGGAGTTTCCAAGTGCAATTAGTGTGCTCCAGGCAGCCATACTTCTCGTTCTCAATTTTACTTATCATTTCGATTGGTGATTTCCATGAGTCATAAGTAGATATTTACATGTGACATTGATTTAGTCAAGTCAGCAGATGGTCATATATTCAATAGTCAAGTCAGCTCGAAAAAAAAATTTCAGCAGTATCAATTGCTTTTAATATATCTGATTTATATGTTCTCAGTGAAGTTCGAGTAGAAGGTTTAGAGACTCTTGATTATTTGGACAACTTGCAGAATAAGGAGCGTTTTACTGAGCAAGGGGATGCAATAACATTTGAATCAGAAGTAGGTTCAAAGTTCTAACTTTTTCTCTTTAGTCTGTTGTGATCTTCTTGTTGTGGTTATTTATTGCGTTACCGGTTTAATAGGTGGACAAGGTATATCTCAGCACTCCTACAAAGATTGCAATTCTTGATCATGAAAAGAAGAGAACATTCGTGTTACGGAAAGATGGACTACCAGATGCTGGTGAGATAAATCTGCTGTGTCATGGATTTTGTTAAAAGTTGCAGCACTTCACTGCTGGATCAATATAGGTGCACGGAATGTCTTAACTATCTTCTCTTGCATTCAGTGGTTTGGAATCCCTGGGATAAGAAGGCAAAGGCAATGGCCGACTTTGGTGATGATGAATATAAGCATATGCTCTGCATTGAGCCTGCCTCCATTGAAAAACCTATCACACTGAAACCAGGCGAGGAGTGGAGAGGAAGGCAGCACCTTTCTGCTGTTCCCTCTAGTTATTGTAGTGGTCAACTGGACCCCCAGAAAGTTCTTCAGGGTTGCTGAATAACACTTCCTCGCAATCTATACTCTGTACAGGTGATTCTTGGGATTGTCCCATTATCTATTTCTATTCTCTTTACAAGCAAAATTGGTGACTTTTCAATGTACAATTCCAACTACAAAAAGAAAAAAGATGCACAATCGCAAGTACGCTGGCTCTATGTCACTAGTGAACTACCGCAGACAATTTTATCTCGCCCAAATTTCTTCTGCTTTGTCAGTAAAGAATTTTCAGATGATGATGGGATTAGATGTTTTGAATATTCATCAATTGCCTTTTGTTTTCTGGTCTTTTTCCACATGAGATGTCCATCTTAGAATGCACATCCAGCAAAGTGAATGTTGATGTTTCCACTTTCAAGCTGAAAGGTCTGACTAGAGTCAGTTCTCTGAGGTAAATGTGTGTCTTCTGTCTGTTTTCTCCTGACCTTAGGTTTTGGAGGCTCTGCAGAACCTTGTTGGCCCTAATATTGTCTGAACATGGACCTCCCTGTAGATCATCGAGGCCAAGAAGTATGGATGAGTGGTTACTGACTTACTATTGATTGTTGTAGACTTCCACCTAGTTTTGATTGATCAAATAGAGCTTCTGTGTGGGAAACTGTTTTTTAGCTTCTAGAGATTTAGCTTTGGGAATGTCTCTTTATTTGCTTCTCCATGAATGCATCAATCACACTTATCATGCGTTGCAGGTTTTGTTGCAATTTCGGATGGATCGACCATGAATCCTGGCCATCATTTTTTTGCCCCTCCCCTGGAGTTTTTTCTACATTGGGTGGAAGAATGGATTCGTGAGCACATCGACTCCTCTAATGATGCCGCTTTGATGAGGAGATACAAAATATGTCATAAAACTTTTGAGTAGTCATATAGCCAGTCAGAATTAAACTGTGTTTGTGGATGGATTGATTTGGCGTCTGAGAATTGATGCTGTATTGCACCTAGAGAATGGAAATGGTTCTGTTAGGTAGCAAATCTTAATCGAACATGTGATGGTAGTGAAAATCTTTTTAGTATGATATTTGCCTCATCCTCTGATGTATGTCCTTTGGGCTGGCTTACAGAGCCGAAGCTCGTGAAACCCTTATCCGGAGCTAATTGGGTGCATTATGCTTGCAAAGTAGCTTCTAGAGCAAAAACATTAGTTGCTCTCTTGGAGTTTGATCAACAGATAGCAGGGGTAGTACAATTTAAAACTGCTAATCAAATCATGCCAGACTAAGATCACTTCGGATCTCAGCGGGAGACGTCTACTTTCAAGTGATGTTCAGTCAGGAGTTCTCCACCTGCCCAGGCCCCAGGTCAACATCTTCCCTGAGTGAACTAACAATAAACTATGCAGGTTCTATCGCACCTCGGTATCTTCTGTAACCTCTCTTTCGAACTGGTTCTCTTTAGAACTGGAAACCCGCATTCGTTTTCCTGCAACCATTCTATGACCTCCTCAGACTAGAATCCCATTTAATTTAGATCGCTATTGCTTCAGCTCCCTTACTTTGGAAAGTCTCTCTATCCCTCTCTCTTTCTCCACACACTATGGGCAATGATAGTAGAGAAGAGGGGCGTGGGTGGGGGGGGGGTTGTTGTGGGAAGTAGTTCCTTCTTCTCACATATGATTTGAAGACTGAAACTGTAGTCTAAAGAATGACCAGTCTCCATGTTGTGGTTTGTTCACAGATTCCACTTCGCACTTGAGTAGTAGTGGTAGACAGGGGTGAGACCCAGCGACCGTCATCTTGCAATTACAAAGAAAATTGGCTTTCCTTAGCAAAGACCTGTATTGATGGAAGTATGTACATCCTTTCATCCTAAATCAAAATAAGAAAGCATTTCCTGTTGGAGGTTACTCTGATTAATTTAGGTGTCTACTAAAAAGAGGTCCGATGATGTTGTCACAGCTTTATTACACCCAAATTGTGGGCGATGATTAACCGAGCTAGGCCCTGGCAGTAGTTCTGATCGATGACTAAGACGACAGACTCGCACCAGTACCCGAATGGTCGACTGAATCATTAGATTACTGTAACCTAGTTTTGGCCACGACAATGACAATCAATGTCGACAATATTATTCTTGAACAACTCTGGCCTTTGGCTTGGAGTCTTTGACTGTTTCCATGTGCTTCACCATATCGGACTACAGATTAAAGCAAGAAGCCCCATTGCACCTTACAAAAATCGGAATGCTATTCAAGTCATTGAGAATCTGAGATCTCTCTTGGATTGCTCTTAGCTATTTTGATTGTTCTAGTCTTTGATATCATTCAACAGATAGGCGACAAAAAGTTCATCCTTCGAAAAAGAAGATTTACTCTGCAAAATTCATGCTTGTCTTCTGGCTCATAGGGTAGATTAAGTCCTAGACATATGTGCTGGAATTTAGGATGATAAACCTTAATTAAAAGGTATTTACATCAATGTGAAATCAGAAATGGCAAAGTGATCTTCTTATTAGAATCAGGAGAAGCAAAATAGAATCTGAATGGATGATGAATCATGTTGATAAGATGGTTCGGGAGAGGCTTAAGATGACTGAACATGCCCTATCTTCAAATAATGTCAACTTCAGACTTGGAACAGCCAATGCGCCTGTTTTCTTTCCCGATCGGATGCAGTAGCTGAACCACCGATACTGGTGGTGGGTCCACTGCAAGCATCACCTCGTTCTGACATGTGTGACGATGATGAAATGAGCTCCTTATGATTCATCCTGGAGAAACCGGCTTCTGGTTTGCTGTAATGCTGCTGGTAGCTTTTGGACATTTCATTGCCCCTTTTCCCTCCTATGCTTAATGTTAGCTCCACTTCAGTTTCTTCATCCGAGCCTTCGATGCTTGTTCCTTCATTTTTGCGAGGGTTACTAAAGCTAGGCCCCGGTAATTCTTCGTCAATGTTGCTGTTTTCCTTAGCTGGGCTTTCAAGGTCGAAACCCCTCGGCCTTCTTATGGCCTCAACGCAGCTGATACTGCTCCTCTCATTTGAACTCGGGTCATTGCTCAGACTTTGTAAATGAAACGGACGGCTGCTACTGGGTTGACTTGTTTGCTGGGGCCAATTGACGACATAGTTAGTCTCTGAACTCCTCATGGTATTCCGGATTCTATTTTGCTCTATTTCTTTCTTCAGCTCACTCATTAGCATCTTTTGAACACTGTACAGCCGGTGGAGTTCTTGCACCTGCAATTGTTCACCCTTTTCAGTTTGAATTTTCTTCAAGTAGTTTTGACATCCTAGGAGAGAAGCTGCAGAGAATCTCCTACCTGTTGCTTGAAGATATCTTCGTGCATCTGTATTGTCTTTCTGATAGATTCGATGTTGTCCTTGTCGGCCACCTGATCCATGGGGTCTATAAACTTGTTCACTCCAGTGTTCCTGATGCTTTCTTTGAGCTCTCTGTTCTCAAAATAGTCCCGCTCATCCACACGGTGAAAAGAAAAAATGTGGCTACTTGGTGAAGCTACTGCTAGTGGGTTGATGGCATACTGAAGTTTGGTTCCCATACCTGAAATAGAAGTAAATTTTTAGAATTGCATCCAAATTATAGTTGATTTAGCTAGGAATTTATAGATGAAATAACATAAAAAAGATTCTAGGTGTGCACTCACAGTTGACTTAGGATCATATCTTTTCCAATTTGTAACTTTTTTCGGTAGTTGGTTGAAATTAAGGGCCACTACTTGATCGTGTGGAGACAGGGTTGATCTAGAAGTGACTCAAACAAATCTGACACGATGGATGAGTCATCTCCAATCTAACAACAAATCATGCTCATTCACACAATGCCTCTGCAAAATTCGAGCATGCGTGCACAAGAGAGAGAGAGAGAGAGAGGTCAGCAAATTTTCTAAGTGCAGAACGAGTTTTGTTGTCTGTCCAAATCTGTTTCACAGTTCATCTTGTCTTTGGCCTTAACAAATGCAGCCACAGCATGTAGAACTTTGCAGATTTGCTAAGTGCCAGCATGTCTCTTACTCAAAATCAGTAAACCCAAAAAACAAAAAGGAAAGAAAAGTTTAATAGGGTGTTAGGTTGAATTAAATTCTGGAGCAGTTAAAATGCACGAAAATGAAAAGATAACCGGCTGTCTTAGCACATATTTCATTTTTCAAGAAGGGTCTTCAAGAGATTTATATTCTTCCTTAGTGAATAGGTCGAGAATTTTGGTAACATTTGTCCTCGTAATGCAAAGAGCTCTGATTGAAAATACAGGGAGAGCAGTCAGAGTTTGCTTCATAAGACTCCAAAAAGTAAGAAGGTTTAAAAGGCCACCAATTGACTGTTCAACATTCATTGTCTGCTCAATATCTGGTTTCAAGAAGCATAGAAAGATGGATCTGTATTGCCTGAAAAAGCAGAGTCTGACCAGAAAATTCTTCCGTGCACTGCCAAGAGAAAACTTGCACCAACCACTCCAAACGCAAGAAAAAACTATATACTGGTATCCTCATCTACAGTGTGAAATGAAACTGACACTCTACAACTTCACCTGTTCTTGTTAAACAAAAAAAAGAATGGAGAGAGAGAGAGAGAGAGTTATGATCATCACCTGCAAGAGATGGACTTGACCAGATTTGCAAACTCTATGGAGATGGTCATTCAACATCATCTTCCTTCATGCTAGTCCCCAATATTACCATCCATAACAAGGCCTCGCTAAATAACCAGAACCCCAGAAACAGGAGGACAAGAACCAACCAAAACCTTCATGAGCTAACATGACATGTTGTTTTGCAGCATGTGACGGAGCCACCAAAGAAGGCAAACCGAAAAAAAAAAAGAGAGCAGTGCTTCAAGATAGACTCACAACATCACAACACTTTCATCAAAATAAAACTCTCGGCAGGCCAGAACCAGTCCTCACTTTACTTGGAGAGACAACAAAGCACCTTTCTCTTAAAAAATTATAGTCTCCTGGTATGTTAATAATTCAGCCCTTGACAGGCTGTGAAAGGAGGGAAAGAGAATGCCAAGGAAACCCAAAAAAGAAAAACGAAAAGGAAAGCTGTTGCAGCAATGTGATAGTGCTTAATCTAAATATTCCGTGTGTCTGTGAGAGAGAGAGAGACCTATATTCTTGGGAGGGGTCTTAAATAATAATCTTTGATGGGATTTTTGTATTGGTGTTGCACTGGACTCTAGAAGGGATGAAGATCAAAAGAGGGTCCACATTGAATATATATGCTCACACATTTAATTAAAGCAAGTGACATATCCTAAACATAAGCCAATGTAGGCCTGTGAACAAGATATTCCTGACAAGTTTTGCTGGACATTGAAGATCTGTGGGAACAGAAATGATATTATGGAAACATCCAGTGTGGTTTCTTCCCTATCCTTTGGTTTTACATAATACCCACCAATCTTTTTTTCTACGGACAATTTCAAGATTCTGATTTTTATCACATCCATTTCCGTACGGATCGACCGCCCTGTCACATTCCACTCAAGTATGGTTTTTTGAGATTTCCGCCTGAATTATGCATCTAACCTAGTTCTACATAACATGACATTTATGTTTCAATAAATTATCGTCTTTTTTACTGCTGAGTCTCACTCACTCTTCAACTGTAGCTGACTCAACTAGCCCTATTTTACAATGAAAAGTCCTCCTTTTTACTAGATTTAGAAAGGCAGAATCTGGAACATTAGCAATAAACACACAGTGAAACAAGATTTATCAGCTAGCATAATATTATTCTGTGGTTTTCAGTATGAAATATTGGCCAATCAAACTTTTGGAAGCTCATGCTTTTATGTGCATTCCGCATGATGATACATCATAACTGTCATCCACAGGAAAAGCAATCCTATCTCTCTTGACAACAAGGATGAGCAAAGGATGATGAAAAGGAGTAAGATTTGGAAACTTTATTCTCCTATTCAGCCTCTGTCTTTCCATAAATTACAAAGTGACCACTAACTCATCCGAAATCTGTCAAAATCAATGAAGTTGTCCACTATATTAAAAAAATAAGCAAAACCCAAGATTTCATCTGAACACAAGAAAAGTGGAGGGGGTAATTATGCGAGGATTAATGAGATGTAAAAGTGATATGCCTGGAATCAAGAAAACACAGGCCATTGGCATTGGAAAGAGTGGGAAAGAGAGAAACTTCCCACATATCACTTTCCTCCAAAAGATAAAGGGCCAAGAACATACTTGTCCCCCAAATTATTATATACCAAAAAGAAAATAATAACCAAAATAAAATAAAAAGAGGAAACCCTCAGTTCTGATCAGAGGAAATCAACACCACACATCCACGTGCCTATGGGGGAGAGAAGCAAATATAAAAACAGGATTGCTTTTGTATGAAATGTATGCCTTTCTTTTGTCTTTTACTTGTTTATGTATGCTCAGAAATCCCATACTAACATGGCCTTTTGCTCATTGATCTGCTCAAGTAGCACCACTTGCACGCTTGTTCATGCACGCGCATGTAAAAAAAAAAAACAAATATTTGTCTTCTCAAATTTGTTCCATCCTTACCCCTATGATCTACTGAGTATCAGTAAATTCCCCGAGGATTAGCAAATCCCATGTTGATGGACAGTTCAGGGGCGTACCTCTCTAGCTCATCTGCACTAAAATCTAGAAGACATGTGAATAGAAAATGAAACATATTTTCAAATCATCCAAAACAAAATACCCGGTTACCTAACGTTATTAATAGCTACAGCCTTTTATCGAAATTGATTTACAAAGTGGTTACAAATTCTATATGAGCGTTCATGTAAGTTAAAACTGTTTATTCACTCAATAAGAGTTTGTCACAATATTTTATTAAGAAACGTCATATTTCTTTATAACCCACGAGTAATTTCTGTTATCGTTCAAACTTCATCCATTTGCTTCATTGCATGATCCTTCTAGTTCTTCCATTTAATCCATGGAATGTGATTCCATTAAGTGACTCATCTTTTCCCAATTTAGTACAACTCCTTTGACAAAAGAGTAACAATCCCCAGTTTTGTTGGGTCTTTTATACATCCTTTGGCATTCCATGGATGGTCTTACATACACACCTAGCATCCACAAAAAAAAATCTAGGGAAAAGTAGGAGGGGAGGTCAAAGTACACAAGAAAGAGACCTTGATAAGAACAAAGCCAATAATGCCACAAATCCTTCTCTGTCCAGTAACTTTCAAGGGTAGAATCTAAAATTCTACAAGGGACCACAAACAAGGTACAGCTTTATCTGCTCATACAACATGTTATCTAGGTTTTCTTTTGTCCTGGTTGAAGGGTTGTCACAGCATACAAGCAATCCCAGCTGCATTGTCCACATGGAACTCTTCTCATCACTAAACTTCCACCACATAAATCCATTTTTGACTGGTGCAATATCTGGATGAATTGCCCGGATTCGTCTATGCTAGAAATTCCGGTTCGGCCGACTAAACACGATCCTGGGTACATCCAGAATCAGATATCGATTTTCTTCTTTCTTTTTTTTTTTTTATGTATTTGACTAGTGGGAAGAACTATTTGTTTCTGTCTATGTCGTCATGTTTCGCATTCTTGGAGGAAAAGTTTATTATTGGATTTCACGCAACATGCTTGCGAAATGTTGACATCACCAAATTTTCTGCTAAAAAGATTTCAAGTCTTCTTCCATTTCAGAAAATCCCCGTACTTTTATTAATCTAATTATCAACGGGTTAATTTAAGTCATTGAGAGTAGCTGTGGAGTGCACGATCCCGAGCAAATCATCAATCGAACAATTGAACATAAAGAAGACATCTAATGAAGCGTAGCGGCACACAGATTTGTTATGTGATTCAACAATTTTGCCATCTAAGAGAACTAAATCAGGTCACAATTTTGACATCTAATCAAGAACATATCAGATAGGATCAGAAGTCTTTCCCAAGAACGGAGCAAGGAAACCCTAGACGCTCTTTCCATGTTTGCTCTCATAATAATGGCCAGCACCAACCCCTTATAAACATAGAGGCAGAATTTCACCCCAATAAAAAATTTGATGTAATAATAAAACCACTAATGGTACTTCTGATTTTTTTTCTATAGTTGATTAACTAGACATGATGTCATGAATGAAGTTTAGAGAATCTTGAGACAAAGCTATGAATATCTCTTAACTTCTTCAATGTCATTATGCATCCTGTCTGAGTTATTGATAAAGTCTCTTCTTATGAAATTGGTCCTATTTATCTTCTTGTTTGTTTTTCTTCTGTCCTTCTCTTTGGTAGTTTCTTGGGGATTGAGAGCAAAATTATGAGTCATATCTTTTGAATAGCCTACCAATGTGGTGATTATTCAATCTCTTCCTTGCTACCATATCGTCAAGATGGGAAAACTATCTGTTCGATTTATCGTTCAACACATTCTGACGTCATGGAGTTATAAACCTAAATTTAGGTCTAAGTCCACTCTAGTTTTGAACATGGCTAATAGGTCATGCTTTCCCATAGATATATATATATATATAACTTCAATGTATCTATTTACTGTGATCTTTGTCGGTGCAACAATGTTATGGAAAGTTTTAAGTAAATGAACACTCTCGGATTTTAGGCACGTGGATTATATATCCTCCGGAGTGACAACTGATGCTGAGGCCATAGCTCTGGTTTTTATCCTCCTCTTGTGCGTTATGCTTGAAGGGCTTCGAAAGTCTTCAAAAAAGAAAATTTCAGCTAAAAAAGTCAAAAGTCTTGTGCATGTTTATGATATGATAATATCGAAGGTTTTCATGTGAGCATTATATATATGATATATTGGCGGATGCCTCGTGCCATGCACGGTTGAAGATTGCCCTGTGATTCTCTTTTGTGGGTAATTATTAACTAATTCCTTACATACGGACAAATTATCTATAAAGTATTTCCTGATTTTTGACGAATTATATAACATGTATATAATTATATGTGTATGCTCACTTACTAACAAATTATCATTTATATGCATGTATTGATTTGGTTTTTAAGATTTTTCTTTTACCTCTTTGTTAACTTAAGAAATTGTATGGCGTTACTTTCTTTACAGTAACTTATTTAATCCTTTTGCTTGACCGATGTATGTTAGCCATTGGGAAAAATGTCCAAAAATTCCTAAACCTATTGCACTTTTGCCAATTGGGAAAATTACCAAAAAAGTCCTAAACCTTTTGCAATTGTGCCAATTCAGTCCTAAACTTTTTTTTTTGCCAATTCAGTCCTAAACCTTTTGCAATTGTGCCAATTCAGTCCATCCGGCCACTTTTGGCCGGCCGGCACTGACGTGGACGCCGGCCGATTGACGTGGCAATTTTTAATAAATTTTTTTTTCTCTTTCTTTTTTTTTTCTCCTATCTTCTTCCCCGGCCGCCGATCTAGTGACCGGCGATCGGCGATCGGCGAGAGGCCGAGGCCGACGAGGTCCACCTCGCCGGCACTGGCGAGGGCCAGCCTCGCCGTCGCCGGGCGAGGTTGACCTTGCCATGGCCGGGGCGAGGTCGACCTCACCCAGCAACGGCAAGGCCTCGC